GACAAGAGTGCTTTCTTGGGTCTGAGCTTTGCTTCTCTCGGTAAATCCATTTTCTTGAATTCTACCCTTAACAGAGGCAGAGAAAACAATCTTTCTTTGCAACATATGCATACCATTATGTCAATAACATCTCACACCCCTTGCTTAAAATAAGGAATCAGGAGAGTCATTGATTTACCATTTAAATATAACATTAAGCATTAAAAAAGATAATGATGGAGATAAGTCTCTTTTATCTGACAAAGTAAAAGACATTTCATATCTTTTCTAGAGTTATAGATGCCATTTTGAATATGGTCACTCCTGATGACCAGTTCAGTTAGAATTAAAGGGTATATGCTGCGGGAGACATTAAACCTTTGATGTTCAAATCTCTTTAAAAAGGATTTTTACAGACTGTCTCACGAGGACATATTCATGGATATAAAAAAGGACAGGATATCTCTTGTAAATGTCTTCAGTCTCTGACTTTATCTAAAAAGTTTCTTTTTAAATGGCTGTACTGTTGCAGAAATTTCGTTTCTTTCTGTACCTGCATTAGTAGACCTTTCCTCTCATATTGCTTTTACAAGGCAACAGACTAAAGTCCATTTGTTGGAACTGAATTAGAAAGTTCAGGGCCTAAAGACATCTAACACATAATAAGAGAATACTCAAAATAATAGATTTTAAAGAAATGAATGTAAGGCATATACTATTCTGCTTCTACAATTATAATAAGCTTCCTAGAGAGAGCAGAGAAGCAAAAGGATTCAGCTGGGTGTTGCCATAAAAAGTATTAAATAATAAAGATAGATAAATACAGTGGACTTGTGTTAACAGTTACGAGCAGCTACAGTGACTAAAAACTTGCTGTTCCAAAGCATTTCTTAAGGAAAATTATTTTATTATGGTGTTTATTCTACCTACTTTTCTTTTCAATAAACTGCATACTAAAGATGACAGTAATTAGCTGGCTGGTTACTCAGCTGCTTAGAGCGCTACCTTGTAACACAAAGATGTACAGTAATTTAGTAGGAGGTGAAAATCCAAGCTCACTAACACTGAAATAGTTCAAAATGGGTCATATAAAGTGTTCTAAGGGTTTTGGATACAATGAAAACATCTATCAGAATTAATAAAACTGGTTCTGTCTAACATCATTACCATTATTTACATCATCATCACCACAATCATCAAATATTTATTGACTACCTGGAGCGAGTAGAGTATACTTAGCAATACATTTTACATTAAAGTCCACTCCTGGGAATTTCAACTTAAAAAATTAAAAGCAGCCAGTGGTCCCCAATGGAGAATTAGAGCCAGGGAGCAGCTGGGCAGAGAACATTGGGAGATGCTGAAAAGCTCATGTTCAGAAACTTTTAGGAAGGGCAACAAGGAAAGACAATCTTCTGCAGTGAGGACCTAAATATACAATCTGCAGATGATCCCTACTGTACATAGCAGCTCTTGTCCTTCTTCCATGGCTGGACCTCCTTGCTGGGTACCTTGGGGGCCAATAAGAATGAAAAAATCCAAGGAAAAAGTTTTAGAGAATTCAAAAAATACAGGAATGGGTTTAGGGAGATCCCAAGTAAACTAAGCCTTCCTGTTGTGGGGTGAACACACAGAGGAATCCAAGACCACCATCAGTGTTGTAGTTTTATAGCTCTTTATTTTAGTGTTGCAGCTCTTTGTTCAGTGTTAGAGCACCTCTTTTTGCTTGCAAGCAAGGAGAGCACTGGGGAGCAAGAACTCCCAAGCCAGTGTCTCCCACAACGAAGGAAAAGACCCCCTTGTATAGCCTAAATTCCCACCCTTTCCCCTCCCAGGTTCCCGTTCAGATCCTCTTATGTAAATGAGGGATGCTGTCCTGCTAATTTGGATTGGCTGATTATGTGACACAGTCCATTGGTCACTTTAGGAGCCTAATTTGCCTCTGGCCCCTGAGGGAGGGGTGTGAGACTGCTGTTATCTCATAGAGGGCAGGCCCAAGAAGCAAGCAGGGTAAATGGCAGGGGCCCCAGTTTGCAGTGGAGCATAGAGTTTCTAAATCAGTTTCTCAAGTGGAAAAGGGAAAAGCTCAACAATTTAAAATGCTTAGGGTTCCCTGCAACATTCCTAGAAGATTTCTCCTCATTTGGCTCTTTCATTTCATTTTGTTCTACTGCCTCAGGTCCTTGTCGTTGGTGTAATTTCAAATGAAAACAAAACGAAACAAAAGCAGAAAAACATGCTGGACACACAGTGGTGCAGAGCTTGGGGAAGTCTTGCCAGCTGGTTTTCAAGAACTCTTATAAAATGGCACTTACGTTGGTGAAGTCAGCCCCACTCAGGGGCTGGCTCTTACCTTGGTAAGACAAGAAACCCAATTTTTGTGGGCATCAGAAGTAGATCTATTAGGAACAGACTCACACAATCCAGCTCACATAATGCAGAATAACAATTTTGTAGATGCAGAGGTCAAGCAGATGGGAATGCTCATTTCAGCAGAGCCCCACAGGCCATACACATGGAAAATCAAGCTCTCAGATTGTTACTTGGTATATGGGAATTGGACTAAAGTGAATTAGTTGATATACTGTGAAGCACTTCTACTCAGTTTAGTGATAGCCTTACCGAAGACACCATAACGCTGAAGTCTGCATTGCTAAGACTCTTCCCTCTGGGTAGTATGTGGATGGTCACTGTCCACTGCTGGCTCTCGGGGTTGGTTATCCTGTTCTTTGCTACATCTGACCCATTCCTTTCTGACACAAAGGTTTTAACCAACCAGGGCCAATTAATCACCTGAACCTGAAAGAGATACCAGACAAAATGCAGGACATTCAGTTAAATTTAAATTTCAGATAAACGACAAATAATTTTTTAATATAAGTATGTCCCATTTAATATTTGGGACATATGCTAAAAATTGTTATTTAACTGGAATTCAAGTTTCACTGGGAATCTCTATTTTTATTTGCTAAATCTGGCAACCCCCAAATTGCCTTCCTGAGCTTCCTTGCCTATTACCTTGATTCGAGTTTTGGATGTTCTCAAGCTCTAGACACATACACACACACACACACACACACACACACAGAGTTTCTTGCTTTATCCATAAAAAACTGATAACAAGTGTGTGGGTCTACACTTCAGAGTGCAACTTTCCTTGATCTACAATTTTGTATGTGTCGAGGGAGGGCGGAGAGTGACTCTTATTACATCCAACAGCAGCTCTGTTGAGATAAATTGTATTAACCAGAGTTGTTTAAAGCAGTTCAAACCATTTTGGTAAGGATAAAGGACTAGTATAAAACAGTTCCAATAAGACTGCTTTACTTTTACTGCATAGCTGTGTTGAGGAAACGGGAGACAGGAATCCTAGCATGGAGAAGGGTAATTTTGGAGAGTGGGAAACTGAGTCTAAGACAGGTCTGGGGAGTGGAGTTCTATAGTTGGGACTTATGGTATCATATGGCTACTGGATCTCTACGGAGGAGAAAACTAGGATGTTAGAAAGGGATGTAGAAAAGGAAGCAGGAACATGTCAAAGAAATGTTGAATATTTCAAATTTGTGTGCAAGGCTGGCCCTAAATGTGAGAGGAGCTGGACTCCCTACCTCCTGTAGTTTCTCCTATTCTGATTGGCCTTCTGGTGTAGCACCCAGAGTTCAGGTCGCTTTTTTTTTTTTTTAGCACTATTATTTACTTGCATTTGGATTTAGTAGACCCAATTTTGTGGGCTGGCTGGAAACCTCACCACACTGTATAACATTGTTTTTACAAGATGTGGTCTGAGTTTCAAACAACTGATTAAAAATAAAATGTTGAAGCATAACTTGGTCAGGTCGGGTGTGGCTTATCCACCTGGTGGACATTGAATTCAGGTAGAAGACCTGGTCACAATACAGCACACTACTTTGTATTATGTTGAATACACACAAAAACAGATTTTATAGATTGAGCTCCATTTCACTCCATTCCACTCAACACTATCTGTTGACTACTTTTCTGGAAATATCTTTTAAAGGGAGGTGAAATGAATAAGATAACAGTGCATACCTGTGCATTATGTTAGATGCAGGTCAAAAATGAACAAGACGCTGTTCTGACTTCAGCGTGTTTACAAATAATCTACATAATGGTACTCAGACAGCTATTATAAAGAAGGGAGTTAATAAGGGCAAGAGACAAGTATGTGAGCAGTGATTTGCAAACTTAAAGTGCTGTGGAGGTTGCTCTAGCACGGGCCTTTGGATTCCTGGCACCCTTTCCCACCGACAATTAGGAGTAATAGACAAGGGAAACTGAGTCCTTGAGAGACTCAAGAAAGGAGGTCATGAATTCGGTGACCACACCAGCCATAAGACCTCGGACAAGTTACACGTCCCTTAACCTCAGCTTCCTCCCCTGGTAAATGGGGATTACAATATCTACCTTTCCATTGTGCATATTAAGCAGGTAAAAAATGATGCACCTAGCGCTGTGCCTGGCAAGAGTAAGGGCTCAATAAACTGTACTTATTATTAGCACTTATTTTCAACTTCTCTAAGTGACTGAGAAGGGAACATTTCGTGTAGAGCTACTTTAAGGATCCTACTTAAGGGCACTGCCAAGCTGTACACAGTTTCCACAAGGAAGACCTTGCTGTCTCCGACTTGCGCCCTTTGCCTTAACCAAGGACCAGAGAAATTAAGGCTCTTCTTGCAGAAAAGGTGCCCTTGTCTCTCCTTCGTAGGTACGGAGGAGGAGGTGCCCCGGCAGCCCAGGCTGCAAACATAGGCAACAGGACAGAGGGTCTCCGCAGGGGTCCCTGGCGGCGCCGGGATCGGAGCAGTTGCCGCCCCGGCGAGGGAGGGGAGGCGGAGAAGTGGGCGCCATGGGGCGTGGGGCGACGGCATCGTGTGTCAGTGCCAGCAGAGCCGGGGCGGGCACACCTACCCGCCGCCCAATCCCCAGCCGTAGCCGCGGCCTTATGAATAAGCAACAAAGCGAAGCGCCCTCCCCTGGCGTCCCAGACAGCGGAGGGAGCCGCCGCCGCTGCAGGGGCTGCCGTGGAGATGCCGAGCGCCGGCGCCGCCTCTCTCCTCCGCGCGCTGCTCGGCTGAAGGCGCACAGGTGAGGACGGGCCTGGCTCCAGCCACTCGGGAGGCTGCGGCTGCGGACGTGGCGCTGGGACAGGGACATGGCTGGAGCCTGGGGCGGCGCGGGTTCAGCTCGGGGAGCTCCAGGCGTGCGTCCTGCGCCCCCGCCGGAACGCGGTGCCCGGTAGCGGGGTGCGCGGGGGGCAGCTCCGGGCGCGCTAGGCGCGACGCGCAGGCCTGGGAGGACTCGCCGCACTCCGAGCTCCAGCCCAGCCTCCCGGCTCCGCACCAGCGAGCCGGCCTTTGTGCTGGCAGAGCTTGCAGGGCTGACTGCTTTTGTGTGGGCTTTTCTTTCTTTCTCTCTCTCTCTCTCCCCCCTCGCAGTCTCACAGCGGTGAGAGAGAAGTTCCCCAAGACTGTGGTTTACTCCTTTCGAACCATCGATCGCAATGTCCCCGATGCCACTCCGAGCCCAGCAATCGCGGAGCGATTGTGGACACTGAAATATGTTCTGCTACTTTGCAGGAAACAAACAGTTGAGCGTTTAGCGCAGGGATGTCATGGAGCCTCCTTGTTCAGCCCCTGACTGGCCTCCGCAGGACACGGCTGTGGGATGCTCCTTGGAAAGGTCACTTAATTAGAAGGGCCTGCGGGTGAGACTTGGAGGAGGCGAGGCTCTGCTTGAGACTCTAGAATGGTTGGGAGGTGCTGCCCGGAGGTGCCCAGATGTCGCATGTGTGTTCTGGTCCCTGACAAAACCCAATCTGTGTAGATTCCAAACAGGGAGAGCCCTGGCTAGCGAGGACGTAACCGCGGGCAAACAAAACAGAGGACCTTCAACAGTTTGGGGTTCTCAAAGAGGAGAAATCCTTGCCTTTCCAAGCTGATTCCGAAGATCTTCCTGGCTCTTAGCACCTAATTTCAGTGCAAAAGTGATGTGAAAGAGAGGAGAGAGGGCTGCTTTAAAGCGTCTGCCTTCTTTCTTTGGAAGTTTTAGTTTGACACTGAAGGCGGGGTGAGGAATGGCTCACAAAACCATCCATAGACCTCTGAAGGATCTCTTTTCCAAGGAGCAAAATGTGTGGTTAGAATTTGCATGCTTCCCCACCTTTCTGTGTATTTCCTTGGTCACAAGTGATGCTGTGAGCTCCAGGGAGTCTCCTTGAATCCAAGCATCTACAGAGTTACTGACTGACTTGTGTACACTTGCCAGCAGAATCCCACTGTCGCATCTACAGAAGGAATCTCAAAACCGGGTGAGGGTAAACAGTATCAGAACATTGCTTTTTTTACACACAGTAGGCATTTAAGGGTAGTCTGACTCAATTTTATGAACAAAGTGGAGTTTATTACATTTGTCATCATAATGAACCAAGCTCTTATGGAGCAGACTTGGTACTAATTGCGTTTATTCATAAAACCCCCAAGGCTCACCAGGTCGAAGGTAGCTGCAGCAACAGGGCCAATTAGGGAGATGTGGATTTGTCTTTGTTTTCACGGGAGGCTTCTTACCGTATATTCTGGCACTTCCTGCTAGACCTTTTCAAAATCATGATTTGGTATTACAGAAATGGCTTGATGCTAAATATAAATATAAATCAAAATGAGGAAGATGGGCTTATTTGTTATGGAAAATTGCAACTCTTCAACTAAAGGTGTATTTCACTCTTTATTCAGTAGATGTTTGCCTGAAAAGTTGTGTATGGAATTGTATTTTTGCTAATTAAATTTTGTGTATTCTTACATAGAGAAACTAGCTGTTCAGAGGGAACCTGGGTGTAACTTCTGTGAAATGAAAACTTATTACCTAATTAAGATGTGAGCTCAATCTTATTTTTCCATATTGTGTTTATTTGGTGATTGTAAGACAACTATCTGAATCTAGTTTCGGCTCCCCTTTAAATGCCAATTAGTACTTAGAAATCTTGCCACGCAAATGAGATTTGGGAACCACAAAGAACAAAAATGAAGTGTCAAATTGGGTCTGTGAAAAGAACTGTCTGATGGAGGGACATGAACTTGTTGATCAAGATTGACCGGGACAGGGATCTGCAAACAGCAGAAGACTCCTGGGTCACTTTGTCTACACGAAAAGCTGAAAGAGGAAGCTCCATGGAAATATCTAGGGGAAAGAAGGATATTCCATCTGCAACTGATGTTATGGCTGCTTCCAACTGTCAGATTTCTATAGTTTGAGGGGAATTCATGTCAATATCACACTGATATGTCTTAAGTTGCATGATACTTAATTTTTTTTTAAACCGCTTTCATGTCTATTATCACTTTTTTGTCTGTCCTCCATCCTTTGAAGAAAATAGAATGAGCATTATTATCTCTATTTTGCAACAAGGAAACTGAGTTTCAATGATTTGTCTAAGGTAGAGCTGGAACTTGAAGCCTGTTTTTAAATCTTCAAGTCCAGCTTCTTTTACCAGGAATGGGATGATCCACTATGGTTGATAAGTACAAACGTCTTCATCTGTCCACACTGCTAAACTGTCGGGACTAAAGCTTGTGGGCTCAGTGTGTAGAACTTAGTTGTCGTCTTCCCGCATGGTAAAGCGCTTTGCTGGTAGTTTCCAGAGTAACCGTCTTGACCCCAGACTACTTATCCTCTTCACTGTCATCACTGGGGCTGCTTTTTTCCTGGGGGACCGTGCTTTTCTTTGTGGTTACTCCATTCTCCTTCCTTCTACTGTGATGGGACATGCTGCTGGAAAGATCATCTGTCATTCCAGCTATTTAATTTATGGTGAAGAATGGCTGTGGCCCAGATCTTAAAGCCAATATGACAGACTAGTGACAGTTGTCAGTAGAACAGTGAATCAGAAATGTGGTACCTTAATGCTGTGAGCCACAGCTATGTTAATAGGGGCAGTGTCTTGATAAGCTCAGCTTTAGACGAATGAAATAGTATTGGCCATGATAGCCTTAAGGATTAAGTAAAGAAAAGGTAAGACAATGATGAATGAGTCATTGAGGATAGGAAAAGCACAAAATGGGAAGATTATTAAGACACAAACAAAGTAGGGGCAGAGTTTCAGTTTAATTTTTCCCTCATCAAAGAATCACTAATTGGATTTTAAAAGGTGAGATGTAATTGGGAATCAAGTTAACCTGAAGCTTTGAGACTTGTTACCTGTAACAATTGATCTATTTTTTTGTGTGTGTGAAGTAAACTCTGAAAACCTAAAATATAGCAGAAATGAGAATACAGAAGTTACTACTATTATTAAAATGACACATTAAATAAGTAGCTAAATTGGCTAGGTGCTGAGCAAAACATGCAGTTAGATGTGGATAGATCATGAGATGTCATTGAAAGTGTTATGATACAAAATAGAGACCATGAACATTCTTTTCTTCATTCTTCAGTGGTTATTTATATTCACTTTGCACCAGCAAATATTTATTGAATACCTCCTCTATGTGCCTGCCATTATTAGTAATTATATGGCAAACAAAGCTTAAAGGCCAGTTTTGTGTGCAAGAAACATAATCTTATTTGAGGCGACAAGACTTAAGGACATGACAATTTGTGCTAGAGAAGCTGGGGGAAGGGTGGGAGGAGAATGGGCCAGGCATTTTTGTGACAGTAGTTAGTAAATGGGACTTACCTTGGGGGGCCGGGGAAGAAGAAGGGAGTGTTGTGGCCAGGGTAGTAGCGTGAGCAAAACCTAGGAGCCTGAAATTGAGTGTGGTACATAAGACAGCAATATATCTGACTGTGATGGTGTTTGCACTGGGCATGGTGCTGTGGGGTATATAGATACGGAGTTTGGCTATTGTGTGTTTGGGGATGTTATAGGACATGTTTTGGGAGGGCAGAGAGTGCTGTGCAAAGGCAGGGACCCTGAAATCTGACAGAATCCAAAAGCTCAAAAACAGACACTGTCACTTAGGCAAGTTAATCATCCTCTGTAAGCCTGTAGTTTTCTCATCCAAAAAATTGGGGATTATGGTAGTACCCAACTCATTAGGTTGTTGTAAGGATTAAATAAGATCATTTTCACCTACAACAGTTGGCCCATAGCATTCTTCAAATGGTAGCCATTTTTGATTGATTATCATCATTTTTATTCTGAAGAATAAGCCACCTGGATTGTATAAAATGGATGGGAGAGGAGAGAGTCTGGACAGGCTCACCAATTAAGAGGCAATTAAAATAATAACAATACAGTGAGGTGACCAGAAGGGACAACTCCAAGAGAGATTATTAAAGAAGGATCCACAGAAGTTGTGAATCTAAAATACAAAGGTGAGAAGAGTTCAAGATGACACCAAAGTTTAGACATAGAAGATGGTTGTGCTTGAGGTGGCATCAAAATAACTTCCAGTAGATAATGGCAGTCTAAGATTAGGTAGCTTTCTTCCCCCATCCCACACCAGCTATTGACAGTATTTATGTTTATTATGAGAAAAGGAAAATATAAGGCAGATTGTCACCAGTGCACTGTCACACTCTGCAGCTTTCCCATGTCTTGGTACTCTCAGGACATTGCTCATGTTCCTTATATATTATACACAAAACTCAATTTACTTTGGAGATAGTAGGTTTGTCACTGAAAAGAATGTTTTAACATGCTGGTTTCCCTTTTGTATCTTCATTTTAGTTACACACTGAGATAGCAGTAATCATTTTAGTTGTAAAAATGTTAACCTATGTTTAAAAAAATCTGATGATTAAGTCTAACAAGATGGCTAAGTCTGTATTTTTTATGTTGTCTTTCATTTGTCTTTGAAACTTGAATATGCCTAGACTTGACAAAGAAACAGATTCTGGACTATTTCTGTTTAAGATTGTGAAAGATAATGCTTGACAGAACAGCTTATCTGCCCACCGGTGACAGAAATGTGGTAAATTGTTCAGAGGACTGCAGAGCCATTAGGGTACCTTGATAGCGAATGATGGACGAAGTGCTACTGACGTGCTGTGAAAGAGATGCTCTTTAAGCTGTTTGAACTAATAGGCACTATCAGTGAGGAATTTGGTTAGTTTATTTATCTAAATTAAGCTGCAGAGCCATTAGGGTACCTTGATAGCGAATGATGGACAAAGTGCTACTGACGTGCTGTGAAAGAGATGCTCTTTCAGCTGTTTGAACTAATAGGCACTATCAGTGAGGAATTTGGTTAGTTTATTTATCTAAATTAATTTGCATTGATGGATATAGGGAAAAGAAAGCAGCATCCAAAGACACCCTATGAGGAAAAGAGAAATGATCTTTCTGTTTGTTTGTTAAATATTCTTATGACTGAGTTAATTTAAGATAATCAAGACACAGAATTCTAGTAAGCAATGAGATCTCCCCTCCCTCCACCTCCAGCAAAGTGGGCTGTAGATATTCATCCATATCTTCAGCCAATATTTACTGAGCATTTTCTCTGTGCCAGGCACTTTGCCAGGTAGGGGATATAGTGTTGAGGAAAAAGGAAAAGGCCGATAGGCTTCAAAATACGGTAGCAGATGGTTATTAACGTTTAGGAATATTGTCATTGAATTGACCGTGGTCAGTCTTTTCTTATTTATTCTCTAATGTCATGCAGCTCCCATTGTGGGATGACAAACTCATGGAGTGGCCGTGTGTACAAAGCTTTGAAAGATGGAAAAAGACCTGGAACTTGAAGGTCATCTACCGGTTTATCTGAGTTGCAGATGTGTTCCCTGCTGCTGTTCCTACAAGCTGTCTTTTCTCCTTCTTTTAAAGTTCAGGCATCACGTTGAATAATGGGGAGAGGGAGCATATGGCCTCAATTCACAGACATAGAAAAGGCTTGCAGTTCACCCCTCTTTCTGTTGTAATTGGATTTAAAAAGCACGTGACTGACAATCACAGAAGGAAAGCCTTTTAGAGCAGTGGCAGAATTCCCTTTACACAAAAATTCTAAACCTCAAAATGTAGATGGAAAAAAAAAAAAAAAAAACTTAAAGGAAAATTCTGTTTTGGAAAGCCATTTGGGGCTGTATTAAATTTTTATTCTCTGTCACCTCTCCCCGCAATCTGATTTGTTCATAAAAGTTTCCTCTCAGCCCACATGACTCCAGGACATATAAATACAATGTGAAACATCCATTTAATTATCTGGGTGCCTTGTCTACTTGATGGCAAAATTGTGTAATTATGGAAATATTTGTATTTTTATTTTATGTCATACAGATGATATATGAAAATAGAATCATGGAGGTAGAAGGGTTTTCAAATATTATTTTGTTTAACTTCTCCTTTAGTCAAAGGAGAAACTGAGGCCAGTTGCCCAGTATCACATAGCAAGTTTTAACAACAATGAAGCTAGCATTCAGGAATCATTTTTCTGATGCCAGGACATGCCCCTCTAAACTCTATTACCATTTGTGATAGACTGGGTTTTTCAGATATTTATCCAGAAGCATGGGATCATGTAGACTAACATTTTAGGCCACACTTTCCATTTTCTGGGATGCTTAGTAAGATTTCACTGAATGGGGATAGTATTTATTTAGGAAGGGACAGCTATCTGAACAAATTAGAAATGAATCAGAGATTTTTACGCTTTCATATCTCTTTGACTCTATAGATACAGTTTCATACTTCAACTTGTCTGTGCTGAAATACAAAGGTATCATTTCATTGACTGTGAACCGTCTTGCTTCACAGCTCTCATATGTTTTTGTTTAAGGTAGGAAAATAAAGGCAACAGGCCAAATACAGTGATCTGTTACCTGGCTATGAACCAGGATGCTTTCTGGCTCATCTAAAAGTGAAGCGGTCACTGATGTCCAGAATGTTCACATGCCTTGGCACATGCTATTCTCTCTTTCTTAAGTATCTTTTCCACATTCTCTCCTTTTAAAACCATGCTAGCCACATCTATGTAATTAAATATCTAAATAAAATTCTTTTAACCCCCCATCCTACATATGCAGAAACTTAGCATCCCTCTCACTATCTCTGAGGATTCTGTTTCTCCTAATATCCTCTGGCTTCGATTTTCTTCTACTGCTAAATTTATGATCCCTGATATGCTGTTCCTTTTCTGTACATGGCACCGTGATACCTCATGACACCATTCCATTCCTGTCTTTCCCCAAAGTTCTGTGGATTCAAGATTCCTATGTAACGAAGTACCCCAAAACTTAGCCTGAAGCAATGACAAATATTATTTTTTAGCATTTCTTTGCATCAGGAATTTAGGAAAAGTTTAGCTGGGAGTTCTGGCTCGAGGTCTCTCAAGAAGGTGCAGTCAAGATGTCAGTCTGGGCTGCAGTCAGCTGAAGTCCTGACTGGGGCTAGAGGATTTGCTTCCAAGATGGCTCACTCATGTGGGGCTAGTGGTTGGCAGGAGGTCTCAGTGTCCAATCTGTGGATACCTTTTGTCTTATGTGGAAAAGTTCAGCCTTTTAATGACCTCAGCCATCTAGATCATGCCCTGAGGACTTGATCTTTTTTTCTGTCTTAAAAGGACCTATAAGAATAAGTGGGATAATGTGGAAGGTTTGAAATCCTTAAGGGAAGAAGACACTATGAAAATGTAAATTTCTATATTTCACATGTGCATATCATATGCTTAACCTAGATAGTTTAAGGATTAGATGAGAAAGAAGAAAAAAGTGTATAAAGTTTATAAAGACAAGTCTTTATATTAGAATTTCAATTCCTAGTTTTAATTTTCTAAAAAATCAACAGCATTTCTGAGGAATTTCTGATGATGGGAAAAGAAATAACTCTAGAAAAATGAATGAAAAGAACTAAAATCCTTAAATTTAGAGGAAAAATAGTAGTCGTGATGAGAATGTGAGCAATAATGGGCATTCAGTAAAGCTTGCTAATTTTAAAATTTGTTTTGGTTTGTTTAAAAAATATACTTATTAAGGGCTGGCTGATTAGCTCAGTTGGTTAGAGAGTGTTGCTGATAACACCAAGGTCCAGGGTTTCATTCCTATACCGACCAGCAGCCAAAATAAAAAAGAAAAATTTATTTGCATTGCTTAATTCTTATACATTTTTGAATCCTTAAGTTTTGAAACATGAAGGTTTTACCTATAAATTTTATAGTTGCAGAGAATAAAAAATTATTTAAACATTTTGTTTGTTTGTTTGGTTTTTTTGTTGCTGGCTGGTATGGGGATCCAAACTGGTGATCTTGGTGTTAAAAGACTGTGCTCTAACCAACTGAGATAACCGGCCAGCCTGATTTATGCATTTTAAAGATAGTTGAATTGAAAATCATTTCTTTATTTCTTTAAGCTCTTGAAAGTAACTGGTATTCAATATTTTATGATGATATTAATAAGTTTTAAAACACACTTGTCTTAGTCTATTTGAGCTGTGATAACAAAATTCCATAAACTGGGTAGCTTATAAACAACAAGTATTTATTTTTCACAGTTCTGGAGGCCAGGAAGTCCAAGACCAAGGTGCCAACAGATTTGGTGTTTAGCTAGGGCCTGCGTTCTGGTTCATAGAAGAACTCCTTTTCACTGTGCCTTTACATGGTGGAAGGGATGAGGAAGCTCTCTAGGATCTCTTTTATGAGGGCACTATAATCCTGTGACTTCCCAAAGGCTCCCCTAATACCATCACATTGGTGATTAGGTTTCAACATATGAATTTTGGGGGACACAAACCATGGCAACATTGAAAAAGCACTTAATTCTTTGAATGAATATGTAAGATTTACTTTCTATATCCTGAACACGTTGCTATTTCTGCAGTTATTTCACTACATGATTAATAGAGGAATTTGGAGAGACTATTGCAAATGTAACTTCAAGGGTAGTTTATTTCAAGTAGGTGTTTAAGAAACAATGAACTTAATATTTGATCTATGTGTACCTTTTTCTAGGGAGCTTCAAGTTAAATCAGCTGCAAAATTCAGCAGGGAAAAATGAACTGGGTTATTCATGTCTCAAAGGTACAAAGAAATAGAACAGTCCTCTTCTACCCATCATCTTTGTGTGTGAAGTCAAGGAGATGATTTTACTTATAGTTAACTTAAAGGGACTTATTTACAAAATATGTGTATATGACAGTTTGATATGCTTTATTTTCCTGCAGGACTCAGTTACTGGAATTGTCAACTCTGCTAGTTTATGCACGCATTTCTCTTCCACTATGAGCAGACCAATTGTATTGCACATTTGTCTGGCTTTCTGTAGCCTTCTACTTCTCAACTTTGCCACACAATGTCTGGCCTTCCCCAAAACGGAAAGGAGGGAGATAGCTCATGTTCATGCGGCAAAAGGGCAGTCTGAGAGGATGAACACAGGTGACCTAGAAAACAGCTCCATTACTTCAAAGCAGACTCCCCACCTTGTGGTCTCTGAAGATCCAATGATAGTGTCAGCACGACCATCAGCAACGTCATTAAATAAAGTATTCTCGATTAACAAAGAAACCCATCCTAAAGGAGCTGGGCTCATGCAGCCTAATAACCCCAGTGATTACACTGCTACTGAACCAGTGGTCCTAGCAGGTGAAGAAGGGTTTAGTTCCAGCCAGCCAGGGAGAATGTCTCCTGAAAGCAGACTTTCCAAGACCATGTTAACTATTGCTATCACTGCAACTGCTTCTCTGAAGATTGATGAAAAAGAGGAACCCTTTAGCAGTACCAGCATTCAGCCCACTGCAAAAGAGACCACAGATGTGACACCAGGTTCTCTGAAGTATGTGGATAATCAGTCATTTGCAACTGAAAGTCAGGAAGGAGTTAGTTTGAAGCATTCACCTTCATCCTACGTGAATACTAAAGAAATATTTACCATTAATCCGAGGACTGGGAAATTTAGAGCAGACACAGACCATCGGACAACTTCTTCTCCTGGTGCAGAGTCCACAGCAGGCACTGAGCCTGGAAGCCTCACGCCTGATAGGGAAAAGCCTTCTGAGATGACAGCTGATAGCACCCAGGCTACTGCCACCAGGCATTTGCTCATAACTTCCGAGTACACTCTGAGTGTTGAGGCAGAAACTGACAGCCTGCTGAGAGCCCCAGAAGTCACAGAGAGTGTCAGCACAGCTGTTCCAGCTCCCTCTATCTTCAGTGATGAGTGGGATGACACCAAATTAGAGGGTGTAAGCCAGATAAGGACCTCAAAGCATGGAGACAATGCGGAGACTCAGGTGAGAATGGAGACGTCTCAGACAGCACAAGTAAGCCACTACGATGTTATCGAAGGAGGCCAACCCATGACAGAGGCTACAGAGGTGGCCCTGGGGCTGCCTGAAGGAGAAACACACATGGGGACATCTCTGCTGCTAGTGCATGGGGATGAGAGATCACCTGCCTTCACTGATCAAAGTTCCTTTACTCCCACAAGTCTGATAGAGGATATGGAAGTTTCTGCTGTGAACCTGTTCCAAAGTATGGGAGACTACACGGAATCCACCAAGGAAAATGACGCTATGTTTTTCTTAGAGACTACTGTTTCCATCTCAGAATATGAGTCTGAGGCATATCAACTGTTGGGAAATGCACCGAAAGGTAAAAGAAAGTAAAAAGAAAAGAAAGAAAAACTAGCTCTGTTTAATTTGGAATCTTTCAGTTTGGTTTTATGTTTTTGTTTTTTTAAAAAAAGCAATTTAGAAATAGGTTATTTAAGTTTCAGTGAAAAGCAAAAGTATACAAATAAGTCAGATTTTGTATAAAAATTACATCCAAATATAACCCTTGCATATAGACCAGTAATCTTCAACCAGGGACAGTTTTGCTCCCTCCCTTCTTCAGGGGACATTTAGCAATGTTTGAAGACATTTTTAGTTGTTACAACTGAGGGGTATTACTGGCACTAGCGGGCAGAGGTCAAGGATACTGCTAAACGTCCTGCAATACATGGGACAGCCTACAATACATAGACAGCAGCAAAGAATTATTTGAGCCAATATATTAATAGCATTGAAGTTGAGAAACCCTGATATAATCTAATGTTTTTCAAACATTTTATTATGAAAATGTATAAGTACACAAGAAAATGTGAAAGAATTAGCTATATGTTTAAGTGGTATCATAAACAATGTAGGGTATGTTACACATTGTTGTAAATTGTAACCACATCCCTGATGTTTCTTACAAAAAAGTTTAAGATAAATATTTATCGGGCCGGCCCGGTGGCGCACTGGAGAGTGCGCCGCTTGGGCGCTCCCGCCGAGGGTTCGGATCCCATGTGGTGACCGGTTCCCGCTCACTGGCTGAGTGCGGCGCGGGCGCAACACCGAGGGTTGCGATCCCGTTACCGGCCAGTAAAAAAAAGACAAAAAGGAAAAAATAAAAGATAAATATTTATCTTATAGTATTAACCATATGGGCTCTCTGACTTTGTTTTCCCAAAAAAGAAGCCATCTAGAAATAAGGAGAATAAAACGATAAATCACCCGCTAGCTTGATTCGACATTTTCTACTTTCTCTTGGCCTTTGCATCTGTGAATAGTAAAGCTGACAAGGCTTATATTTTATGTAGTTGGTCAGATAACACCATTGGGAAGGAAAAGCTTAGTATAAGATGTACATGCTCATTTCTAATTGTTTTGGAACATGTACAATGTGTTACTTCAGCCAAACAGCCCAATTAATGGAAAATATCAAATATCAAATTATACATTTTGTAAAGTGTCAGTGAGATTAAATTGAAATGATAAAAGATCATTTGATAAATGATAAAAATTGGATTTCACATGCCTAATTCATGTTTTTAAAGTCTGAAAGACCTAGTATGCTGTAAATTTTCATAGAAGCTTCTAGAAAATGTTTTGCAAGTTGGTTTTTCAATGACATTAAGAGAGTTGGGTCCACCTGACCATCATAATAATAAATATGGCTGAGCAAGAAGTTTACTTCAATTCTTCATAGCACTTATATTTCTGGAGCATTAAGTCCTATAATCACAGATTATTCATTGCGCAATTGAAATCGTTCCTTCCTTCCCTCCTTTCTTTTTTTTTATATATATTTTTTGGTGGTTGGCCAGTATAGGGATTGAACCTTGGACCTTGGTGTTATCAGCAGCATGCTCTAACCAACCTAAGCTAACTGGCCGGCCCTGAATCCATGATTCTTATTTACTAGCCTTGCATTAGCTTCTATTAATGTAGCTTAAAGTGTAAAATGGATTTGGTAATTATTGATTACTTTGATTATTGAATATTCTTCTTAGTCATAATTGCTTCATAAACTACAATCTCTTAACAGGTGACTTTTAAAAATTTTGAACACATAGTACAATGCATGGCATATAGGAAGTGCTCAATAAATATCTGTTCAATGGGTGAGTAAATGAAGATAGAGAACCATTTAGACTGCAATTATTCAGCTTGATTGCCTGCCTTGCCCAAATTAATCAAATAGCTTCTAAATGTTCTTTGTAGAGAGAGGAACAGTCAAGTCATTCCTTTTGTTTTAATTTGTTTTTGTTTCATAGAGTTCAAAAAAATGTGAAAGATTATGATTATTGACAATAGTAGTTATAGAATAGCCAAAAAGTTTTCCTATCCATTTTTGGGTGAACATAAGTATTTTTTTCTGAAGTAAACAACTCAAATGCCAATCATTTTAGGACCCAGGAACCACTTAGGACATTATCTTCTTCAGGATATGCGATGATTTCTTGGTGTTTTTGGCTATTACTAACAGATTAATACTCTGAGATTATAGTCAGTCCTCTGGTTCAGCTAGTTCTTCTGCTGGTTCAATTGAAGATCAGGTTTTAAAAATAATCTATAATAATTATTATATAGAAATTTTTCTCCACAGGAAGTAGGAAGAATGAAAGAAGTTGGGAAATTTTGAATGTTATTTTTAAAATTTCCATTACTATTTCTGATTCTCACTTTTCTTTCTCTAACAACATTCACTTATTCACACATCATACCATATAGGTCTATTTCATTCCCTTTTCTTATCTAAAAGCAAATGCAAATCTTCTAGAGAGGCCACTCCAAGTTGTTCCTTGGGCATATTCAGCACAGCGGTTAAAAGCACTGGCTGTGAAACTTTAGACAGGTTCCTCAGTGTCTCTAAACCTAAGTTGTTCTGTAAAATGGGGTAATAATAGCTGATATTTATTGAATATTTACCAAGTACCGGGCATAGACTAAGTGTTTTACATGTATTATCTAATTTAATCTTTGTAGTAACTCTGTGAGATAGGTACTGTTATCACCCCCATTTTATAGCCGAGGAAACTCAAGGCCCAGAGATGTTATATAATTTATTCATGGTCCCACAGCAAGTAAGTGACTGAGTAAGAATTCAGACCTGGGCAAATTGGCTCTAGAGCCTGCATTCCTGACCACCATGAAATACTACGTCTATGGTATGGTATTAGCACCTACCTCCCCTTAGTACATATGGGAGGACAAAATAAGATAATGCACACCATGCACTTAGTATTGTGTGTGTAGGGCACATAATAGAAACTCAGTAAACATTAGTTATTGTAATTAGCATTGTTTTATTTAAAGCACTAACACTTTTACCCTTCAGAAATGCAAATGTGAAAATTAATATACGCAAATGCTTCTGAGAGTTTTTGAGTGTAATTTAGTTCTATATAATTTGTTTCTTAACAAACTGATTATGTTGGTATTCAGATGTGCCTGAAAGTAGTTCAGCTGTTGATCTTTCTACTTTGTTTTGGGTTTTATTCTAATTTTTTACATTAACTTCTTTATCTCTGTCTTAAATTGATTCACAACTCCCGAAAGCACCAACAGTGAAAATATTTATTTACTGGCCTTATATTTCTGAATTCTCCCTTTGCCTTCACAATCCCTGAAATAGCTATCTGCCTTTTCCCCCCCTGATTTATTAATTATACAGCGAGTTTTTAAAATAGAAGGATTTGGTCTATTTTAAAATGTTTCCCCCCTTTTAAGACATCGCCACTCAAGAGATGACAACAGCGGTTCAAGACCCAGAAGCCACTTTATCCTTGATGACACAAGAGCAGGTTGCTACCCTTGAGGTCACCAGAGACAATGGTGAGACTGAAGGAAGAGAGGAGTCCCCCTTTCCCATGTCTGATGTTCCTGGTGGTACTCAGCTGTCGAGAAGGCGGGAGCCTCTGGCCACGACAGTTTCAGCTTTAGCCGTCTCTTTGTCTTTCGAAGTTACTCCTGCTGCTGTGGAAGGTCTGTAATGTGTGGAGCTGGACTCTGTTTGGGGGATGAATCTTTTCTGTGAGGAACAGAATGAGTGAGGCAGCTGGCTCTGCCACCTGCATAGACACGCACACCTCCCTGCAAAGGCAGGCAGATGCTCTCTGGTTGGGACAGGTGTGGCGCAGCCTGACAGGACAAGGGGTTAGTTCCCAAGTAAAATCTCCTGCTCGTTCCTCTCTGGGTCCTGTAACCTCTGAGTCTCAGACCTCCTGAGAATGCTTTCCATGTTTGGCACCTCTGCTGCTAGGAGCCAGAGGGGCAAAGTCCAGACAGCAAGGATCTGGATGATTCGTAACTTTGGTCCTCACTAGTGCTGTGGCCTCAGGCAAGTTTCTTAACTTCTGTAAGCCTGGGTTTGTTCATCTCTAAATAATGCCAACCTGCCTTATAAGTTATTTTAAGGATTTGAAATAATGTCTAACAAGTGCTTTCTATGTAGTAGGCCCTCAAATTCTCTGATCTGTTAAGAACAGTGAAATTTTCAAATTTGGCTGATTATTAGAATCACCTGGGAATTTAAAAATTTTATTATTTTTGGACCTCATGTCTCTATCTCATCATTGGTCCAAGTAAGGCCCGCTTTTATTTATTTACTGAGTTATCTTTTTTTTTTTTTTTTTTTCCTTTTTTGTCTTTTTTCGTGTCCGGCAACGGATCGCAACCCTCGGTGTTGCTCCCACACCTCGCTCAGCCAGTGAGCGGGAACCGGTCTGCATGTGGGATCCGAACCCTCGGCGGGAGCGCCGCTGCGCTCCCAAGTGGCGCACTGTAGCAGTGCGCCACCGGGCCGGCCCGTGAGTTATCTTTAACAATGTAATAAATACCTTCTAATCCTGCCTCCACTCACCACCTCCCACCCCCAGCAAAACAAGGGCCTTGTCAATAACCTGCTTGAGTTTCCATGATGATTTCCACTTCAGCCCCTTCCTCCCCTGACTTGGTAACCGTCATCCTGAATCTCGTGTTCATAATTTCCTTGATTTCCTTTTCTTTTAGTTTTATTAAGTCTATATTTCTAAAAGTATGCATTTTATATTTATATATTTAATTTTAAATATATTTATATTTATATTTTTAGTTGTTTTTATCTTTATAAAAATGGTATTGTACTGTAGATAGCCCTTTTGGGACTTACATTTTTTACTTAATATTCTATGGCTGAGATTTGCTTAATTGTAATTCTTTTGTTTTGACTGCTGTATACTATTCCATTATGCAAATACATCACAGTGCATTTATCCAGTTTTTATTCACTCTGCTGGTGATTGGCATTTGGGTCATTTCCAGGTTTGGCCATTATGAACATTGCAGCCATAGATACTCTTGTAAATGTTCTTGATTGTACATGTGCAGGAGTTTCTCTCGGGTATATATCTACAAGTGGAATTGCTGGGCCATATGAATGATTGACTTTAGGAGCCAATACCTAACTATTTTCCAAAGTGGTTGCACCAATTTATACTCCCACCAGAAATGTACAAGAGACCCTGTGGATCCGAACTCTGGGAGCTTTTAAAAATACAGTTTCTCAGGCTTCAAGGCCAAAGAGATTCTGATTCAGAGAATTGGGATGTGTGGAAAGCATGAGAATCTACATTTAAAAAATTGCTTCAAGGGATTCTGACCAACCAAGTTTTTAAGTGACTATAGTTCTAGAGTCTTTGTATTTGGGAATACCTAGGGCATATTTGGTTACTTTGAAATTGAGCCTATTTCAGACACAGATTTAGGCTCTTACTCTTTGATTTTGAGAAGGACACTAGGCTTTTCTCAAGTAGTCTTTAGCATATATTTTAACACATTTTTGTTAAATCTTTTGCCTTCAATAATACATTATATAAAATTCTGCAACATTCATAATATTGTCAATAGAATAAATGGGAAATTAAAATTTAAAACAAAGTTTTGCTTTGAAACAATATTTTCCTGGAAGAAAAGTGTTTGGGTTGCTGGATTGATGCATTGTGTGAAAGGAGAGCTGATCTAAATGCCAAACTTACTGTGTGTAAGACATTGGCTTCGTTGGTCATTGCTTGCCTAAAAAGTGAAAGTACGTGTTTATATTTTCCATAATGATCATCTTATGGGTCTCATCCTAAATCTTGTGTTTGGCAGACCTGACGGACACAGTCACAAGGCCAAATGAAGAGTTCACACCAGTTTTGGACTCTCCAGTGACACCTTATGGAATAATGGTGGAGACGCCCAGCATTTCCCCAGCCTTTCCTGCTTCTGAGGCATCCTCTGAGAGAACTGTGGTTCCATCCATTAGCCGTGTTAATACAGCTGCCTCATATGGCCTGGACCAATCTGAATCTGAAGGTATCCATGCTTTGAAGGGGATCTTTTCTAGGACTGATTGAGTGAGCATCGAGCAAATGTTTTTGAGAAAAGGTGAAGTAGAAGTATGTTCAGTCCACAGTAGAGCAGGGGTCAGTAAACCATGGCCTGGCCAATTCTGGCCTGCCCTCTATCTATTTTTGTTTGAGCTGTAAACTAAGAATGTTTTTTACATTTGTAAATGATTGAAAAAAATCAAAAGAATAATATTTTGTGACATGTAAAAGTTATATAAGATTCAAATCTCAGTGTTCGTAAGTAAAGCTATATTGGAACACTGCCACACTCGTTCATTTACATAGTCTGTGGCTACTTTTATGTGACAGCAGCAGAAAAGAGACTAAATGGCCCACAAAGCCTGAAACACTTAGGATATGGCCGTTTATGGAACAAGTTTGCCAACCCCTGGTATATATCAGTGTGTCTCAACTACGGTTGACCATTAGAATTACCTTGGGGAGTTTTTTAAAAATCCCAGTGTCTGAGTACCTCTCCCAGTGATTTGGATTAAGTTGGTATGGGGTGGGATCTAGCATCAACATTTTAAAAGAGTGTCTTAGATAATTTCAGTATTCAGGCTGGATGGAGAACACTAAGTTTAAATAGAGAAATTGAGCTTCCCCACCAGATTCTCTTGGAAGTTTTAATGTGGACTATATTTTAATAATGTTGCTCTGGTTGGTAATGCTGGGTTATTCTCTCTTAGTAATATCTTTGGGTTAGCATATTCTGCTATTTGGAGATAGGCATTCTCTTTATCTACTAAGACTGAGAAATTCATGCCAAATTGTATTTTCCAAGACATTGGCTTTGAGCATGCAAAAGAAACTTGGGGCACAGCTGCACATTAACAACCAAGAAGACTAGAAGTATGACTCATGGTCATGTAATTAATCAGCACTTTGGCAGGTGAACAGTTCCTGGCTGGAGGTGCAAAATATCAAGAGACCTGTAGTGCAGAGTTTCTTAAACTAACCTGGAACATAGGTAAGCTTTTGGGCACTAAATTAGCCATATGTTTGATGCAGTAAAGACAAAGGATGTACTGTCATTTTATATTTTGTCTACTCTACAGCAGGGAGGGTGGTTCACATAGGTTTGCAGCAGACTCTTTTGCACACTTTCAGGTAACACCGGTGGTCTGCTGACAGATAAAACATGACATTTTAGAATTCCATAGTAGAATGTTGGCTTAAGAAATGGGCCGGCCCCGTGGCGCACTCGAGAGAGTGCGGTGCTTGGAAGCGCAGCGGCGCTCCCGCTGCGGGCTCGGATCCTGTATAGGGATGGCCGGTGCACTCACTGGCTGAGCGCAGTGCGGGCGACACCAAGCCAAGGGTTGCGATCCCCTTACCGGTCACAAAAAAGACGAAAAAACAAACAAACAAAAAAACCAGAAATGGATCAAAGTGGGCTCAGAGGCTAATAGCTCTTGTACTCCATGTGAAGATAAATACCGTATGACTTGGAGTTTAGTGTCTCATATTAAGTGTCTGCTGTCCTTGATGCCATCTGGAAAAAGCAGGTTTCCCCAAGTTAGCCTGAGTTAAAGATGACAGGTTTACCCAGCAGGGCTCATTAAAAAATTGTATTTGTGAATAATCCATACTTGTGACACTGTAATAATTTTCTAAAATTAATAGATGATGGCAGTTATATTGAAATATGTTAGAATTTTCCTGGGGTGCCTAAGATGGCCTGGAGTTTTAGTTCTTTTCTTCTACACAATTCAATTTCAGCTTCTTTCTGAGAATATATTTTGTCAGTTTTTGATCTAATTATGGTCCTTCTCACAGTTTATGAAAGACATTTTTGGTTAAAAAATATTCTTTCTGCTGCACTGTTGAGCTTAAGATAAGATTTTGAATTAGCACACCTTTTTTCCTAAATACCAGGGAGTACAACTTATATTTAATTAGTATATGTTAATAATGTCACAATTAGTTTTATGCTGGTGCATTTATTCCTCTGAAGGTTGAATTGACTACATTTATTTAAACAGATAAACTTTCTAGACTCCTGCATGTGTTGGAGAACTCTATTTTCAATGTGTTTTTCTACCTTGCCCAGGTATACAAGTGCAGTTTGAGGCTTTGACTGGATGAAGTATTTTAATTCTATCATAGGATTATACCCAGAGGGAGATAAGTTATTCTTACCTGGAAGAGTGTATTAGTTATGTCAAATTATCTATCTTTTAAGTTTTAATTTCTGTGTTGTGTTGACAAATGACATACAATTCTCCAGTTTAAAGTGTGTGTTTAATTATATTATTAAACTGTTTATATGTTATTTTAATATCTCCCTTCCCACTTGGGGCAGGAGTATTTCTCCAGAAAATGAAGTATTTTCCTAGATGGGATATAGAAAGGGACATGCCCTTATTAGACACCAGACCCTCAAGGAGAGAGAACCTTTGTGAAAATTTTTGAATCCACTGCCCTGTTTATCCTTTAAGAGAGGATTAACAGCCCAAATCAATCTAAACATTATTCCTATTGGTTACCCTGTTTCTTTCCTCCTTTATATCTTTTCAATGTGATGATTAAGAGGATGTATTAGTTTCCTAGGGCTGCGGTAACAAAGTGCCACAAACTGGGTGGCTTAAAACAACAGAAATTTATTCTCATACAATTCTGGAGCCTAGAAGTCTGAAATCAGGGTATAGGCAGGGACATGCTCCCTCCAAGTCCTCTAGTGTGAGATCCTCACCTGTCTCTTCCAGCTTTTGGTAGCGCCAGGTGTCCTGTGGCTTGTGGCAGCATCACTCCCACCTTTTCACAAGGCTGTCTTCCTTCTGTGTCTCTGTGCCCCAATTTCCCTCATCTTATAAGGACACCAGTCATTGGGTTAGGGATCACCTTAATGACCTCATCTTAACTTGATTACATATGCCAAGACCCTATCTCCCAATAAAGTCACATTCACAGGTACCACTGATTAGGACTTGAACATATCATTTTGGGGCACACAATTCAACATATAACAGGGGGTCTGCTTTTGAGGAGTTTGCCAGCTGGCTCTGAAGGCAGATATGCTCTGTCTCTGGAATGCCCCCGAGTGATGTGAATTCATACAGTGGGAGAAGTTTTTTTTTTTTTCTCCTTTTTGTCTTTTTTTCGTGTCTGGCAACGGATCGCAACCCTCAGTGTTGCGCCCGTACCGGACCGGGACCGGCAACGGGATCGCAACCCTCGGTGCTGCGCCCACACCTCGCTCAGCCAGTGAGCGGGAACCGGTCTGCATGTGGGATCCGAACCCTCGGCGGGAGCGCCGCCATGCTCCCAAGTGGCGCACTGTAGCAGTGTGCCACCGGGCCGGCCCAAGAGTGGGAGAAGTTTTGATATGTTTTATATTTCTTAGTCATTGAAGAAAACCCGTCTCTATAAGTGCATGCCACCTTGTGTGTATTTCAGTAAGTCTTTTGCCTTGTCAGCAAAAATGCAGTTTGATTTTTGAAGGGATAATAGTTTATCTTTCACCTTGCTTGATACATTTTGCTTCTGTATGTGATTTTTTTCCAGGGAATAAATGTTTTCAGGATGATAAAAATGCATTATACTTATCTCAGGCATCTCTTTGCTAAGGCTATATTTAGCATTTTTGAAATATGAACATTACAAAAATGTTCTAATTTTTTATTTAAAATAAGATAATAGCAAATTTTATACACATACACATTTATTTATTAATAACTGCATAAACTAATTTTTGGACATGATCTCTGTATAGGTTGATTTCCTTCTGTTGTTAAACATTAATATCTTTCTCTACTTCAAAATGCCAACTTAAAATTTTTGATCACTCTTTTTTTTGGTTTGGTTTTGGTTTTTTTGGTGGCTGGCTAGTACAGGGATCAAATCCTGGACCTTGGTATTATCAGCACCATGCTCTAACCAATTGAGCTAACTGGCCAGCCCTGATTTCTGATCATTCTTTGGAATTTTTATTTGGGTTAACTGTCTTTAAAATATTTTAATACTAATATTAAATGAAATAGGACATACAATTATTTCTTACTTAACAAAGTTCCACTTTCTGTATATTAGGAACCCACTGAGGATATCTATTTATTCTAAATAAATCAAACTTATTTTATTCTATTGTATACTCCCATGGAAGATAGAAATTCATTTATGCTGAAAAGTTGTAGCAATCATTCTGTAGGATGGAAGGTTACTGCTTTAATAATTCAATATTCAGAAAAATCTATTGTGGGTCTTTTTATGCCAGGTAAAAATTTACTGGTTGCCTGCTATGTCCACTCCACTAGGTGCACACATACAGCTCTATACAGAGAAAAAAGAAGCCTATGCTCTCGTGGAGGATAAGGAAATGTATTAGGTTTCAACAAACATGTTGGAGATAGGTATAAAAAAACAGAGATTTTTCTTTCTTTTTTTGAGGGGGGGTGTTGGCCAGTATGGGCATCCAAACCCTTGACCTTGGTGTTACAAGGCTTCACTCTAATCAACTTAGGTAACCGGCCAGCTTGATTTTTGAGAACTTGTGATTAAGTTTTTGGTAATATTCTCTCCCACCCCCAGCACCTTCTCCCTTAATATTTGGAAGTTAATATCCGGGCCTTCCAGCTAGAGGGAAATGGGAAACCACTTGGTGCTTGCCATGGTGCTGATTAGAAAGAGACAGGAGCACAGTGAATTTGCTTGGATTCTCCCAGGACTACTCTGGGTTGGCTTATTGCTCTGTTGCAAGAGAAGAAGGAATGTCAGAGTCCCTGATCTGGAGAAGTTGGATTCTTGATCTAACTGGTCCTACTTAACATCTTTCTATAGGCATAAATGTTAAGTGTTGAGGCTGAATAGTCCCATGTCATTATCCCAGACAATTCCCATTTCCTCATCTGTTCCAAAAGGCCCATTTATTATAGGCTTTATGGAACAAACTCATAATAATTGACTTGCTGAAGAATTACCTTCTTAACATATAAAGAGATTTTTAATTTTTCTTATCCAACAGAG